CAGGAGGATCCGGGCAAAGAGCCACATATAAAGGACTCTTCACCTGGGAGTGTAGCTCCATTGGTCGGTCGGAGCCGCATCACCTCCAACTTGAGATCCTTGAAGTGGAAGACGACGGACAGCAGATCGCACCTAAGACGACCGTTGGTCCGGGTTGAGGTGCACACGAGGTGGCTGAAACTGTCTTCCTCCCACCTTCCCTCCCTCCTCCCTCTTCGCAAGTTCGACTCCGTCCTGTCGTCGCTCTTTGGCATGCGGTTAGCGTTGCGTATCTTGCGGCCGCACTCGCTCACTCTCACTCTCACTCTCACTCTCATTCTCACTCTCACTCTCACCCTCACTCTCACTCTCACTGTCTCTCACTGTCTCTCACTGTCTCTCACTGTCTCTCTCTCTCTCTCTCATCTCTCTCATCTCTCTCTCTCTCTCATCTCTCTCTCCTCTCTCTCTCTCTCATCTCTCTCTCATCTCTCTCATCTCTCCCTCATCTCTTTCTCATCTCTCTCTCATCTCTCTCTCCTCTCTCTCTCTCTCTCTCCTCTCTGTCTCTCGTCTTTCCGTCTCTCTTCTCTCTCTTCTCTCGCAGGAGGATCCGGGCAAAGAGCCACATATAAAGGACTCTTCACCTGGAATCGTTTGCCCCGCCCAACTTGTGCAAGGCGTCCTGCCTTCTGCTACTCCGTGCGACTGCCTCCAAAAAGAGCGCCGTGTTTTTTCCTACCTCGCTGCCCTCCACTTTCCCGTTCTGGAGCGCTAGCTTTCGCCCCCCCCCCTTGGCCTCAAGTATGAATATGAAATAGAGGGCTCACTCAACAACAGTTGGGTCCTTTCGTGAACCGAAAGAATGGGTTTGGGCTTCATGCTCGGAACATGCTTTGTCCTGCATACCCGTGCACATGACCCTGAAAGCTCCATATGCAGCACATGGTATGCTTGGTTTCTTCTAACCGCAGTTTCTTTTCCCGTTCGTTTCCTGCGGGATGCAGGAAATGGCGACGGCCGCTGGCTGGAGCTGCGAGAGAAGGACAGCCAGACAGCCAGACAGCATTTGGGGAGTCCCACCCGGACCCATACACACACTCGGAGTTAGGTCATACAAGATGTTGTTTCTGATTCTTTATCCTTGCCCCAACACATCGTGCCGCCTCATGACCCATCGGCCTCAGAACTGTGTCGTGGCCTTTGAGACCAGAGCACCAGAGATAGAGATCCACCAACTTCGATCCGGACGAACTGTTTGACTTTCTCGATTTATATTGTTTATATGGGAGTTGATCGAAAACCCCGTGTAAGGAGTTTTATATAAAACAGCCTTTCAGATGTTGTTAGAACCATCCGCGAAAGATTCGCGATGAGGTTCGCGAAAGTATCTTTTTTTCCGCGAAAGATTTATCGAAGGTCATCGCTTTCATTGTTTTCCTTTCTACCGGCCTGACAAAGAATAGAAACGCAAGGCAGTGGGCGGAAGTGTCCCCATATGTCACAGACTCACGAACTGAAGCCTCAACATTTCCGTGCCCAGCCCTGGCAGTGCGTAAAGGATTCTCCGATTCCTGTCCCCACTGTCACAGACTAGCAATCTGGGTAGGCGCAGCCCTGACAGTGAGGCAACGACCTGCAGCTGCTCTGACGGGCTGTGCAGATGTTTGCAAATTTTACGGCTTCCCGGGGAAAGCGCCAGTGAAATTACGAAAGCCAGCCTTCGTAGAAGGCGCTAGCGGAGTTGTGTCTGGCGAACGAAGTGAGTAGTTAGGGGGTCTGGGGGGGGTGGCCCGAGAAAGGTATACGTCAACTCAGCACATGCTGGGGGAGGAGGGTGCTCCGAGGGAAGGTTTTTTGAGGTTGTGTTGGAGGTGATTTTTGAGGGGTGGTGACGCAAGAAATGCCAAATGCATCATTTGCATCATCTGAATGGAAAGGTGTAGTTGGCACCTTGCAAGGTAGAGAGACCTAGGGTAGCTATAGTGCAGCTACCAGGTATAGTACTTCAAGTTCCCTTTCCGTCAACCGCTTGAGAACCTCTACACACGCACAGCAATCCACAGCCTTGAAGTCTCATTCGTGCTTTGAACTTGTATAGGTGTGTAAGAGGTATAGCAACATACTATTTATACGGACCCAGGGTAGCTACAAGTAGCTACAGTTCTGGTATGGCGCGCATGAGGCTTCAAAGCTGTGGTTTTCAAGCTAAAGTCAAGGTGGCCTGAGACCAGGGTTTGCTGCCCTAAAACACTCTGTTCAGGCCACCTTGAAAATAAAG